ACTTGGTTTCACTTGGGAAAGAAACAAATAAACCCACCTGATATACTCAACACTCTTCCTCAAAATCATACCCTTATTCGCCTTGACAACACCCCCATCCCCTCCCTGCTGCCCTCCCCCTCCTCCAGCTTCCTCGCCCAACGAATCTTTCCTGGTCGGCGTCCCGTTGAAGCCATTCGCAGTGGGATTAGGATTGTTAAGCCCATTCAACACGTCGACGGGTGTCAGCAGCGAATCTGGGTCCGGGAGACCGTTTGACATGATCCCGCCGCTGCTTGCGCCTGGGGAAGCGGCGGATGGGGAAGAGGTGTTGCCGTTTCCGTTTGGACCTGGGGGAGAGGGGGTTAGTTTGAGTTCGGGTTTGGGGATGGAGGAGTAACAAGGAACGTAATCGGGGATGCAACGCAAGAGAAAAAGAAAGGCGATCCAATCCAAGGAAACGTGCAACCCGCAAAAAAGCAAATAATCGCAACAACCACCAACCAACAAGAGGGGGGAACAGACGGGGATCCAACGCAATAGAAAAGGAAAGGCGAGGAACCAAAACCAAAAAAAACGAACTCACCGCCAACATCCAACATACACTCCGGAATCAACGTAGCAAGCTCACTAATCTTCTCATTAATATTATCCCTCCGTCGTCTCTCAACGGCATTATGGCTCTCGCGCCTCCTCCTTCGTCTATTCTCGTTGGCTAGTAGGGCTTGTTTATCGCCTACTGCTTGTTGTTGTCCTAGTCCTTGGCCCTGTTGTTGTTGTGGTGGTGCGGCCCCCGAGGAAGGAGGGGGGAGCTGGACTTGTTGTGCTTGACCTTGAGTTTGATTTTGAGGGGGGAGAGGATCGTAAGAAGGGAGCGACATCAAATTGACAGCTTGCGTGTCTAACCCCTTCGGCAGCGAGTGCGAATGCGCATGGTGGGAATGGTGGTGCAGAGGCGGGAGATGGTGAGCATGTCTTGAGATGAGGAAAGCACGAAAGGGGTGTATTGTTGATGATGGTCGTCGGGTGTGGGGAGTGAGTACAGCTTCACGAAAACACGAAACACACCGAGAGAAAGAGGCATACGAGCTAGCTCTGCCTCTGCCCAGGCATATACCACTGACTTCCCCCCCCTCCTCCTCCTTTATTTGAAGTGCTCAAGGAACTGCCCGCATGCGCCATTGCACCCAAAATACTCCCCGGGAACTACCCATCCTACTCCCTGGAATAACAATGACATGGGGCCTCAGGTGAATACCAAAAGGAGGCGGGAAAGTGCCAGGTATGCTATCATTCCTCCTGGCTCTAGTCGTCCTCGCAGGCCCCATACCGCCTGACCCATTTGCGGCGGATGACGGTGGGAAAGGAGCAGAGCTGGAGGAGGGAGGACGTAATCTGGGGCGGGAGCAGGATGCTGGTGAGTGTGTGTGTCGTGTTAGGTGGGCGTGGGCGGGGTGGAACGATGATGGTGGTAGGTTCGTGGTGGACGAGAGAGGGAGTTGAGGGGAGGAAGGAGAAGGAGGGTCGTAGCACATCCCATTGTTTATCACTGGGAGGGTAGAGTCGAATGGGTGTTGTTGATAAGCGTCGTGTACGCTACTTAGCTGACTCCCTTTGTTGGTGGTGGTGGAGGATGAGGAAAAGTGTGTTGGAATGCTGAGGAAGCGGTAGATGATGCACTGAAAACAGATAGGTCGAATATGTTATGCGTGTGGTAGGCTGTGGTGGGGTTTTCATATGCCGTTGCATTGCTGCTGGTGCTGGTGCTGGTGCTGGTGGTGGTGAGTGTGATGGGGGTCATTAGGCGTCAATCGATCACCGGGTCCACCCAAGCGCTTAACTGTGAGCAACTCGTCGTTAAACTCCACATTCGCAGCAGCAACCACATTCACGGACGAAGGGAGCTTGCAAAGTACCAACATGCTAGAAAGTCGAGCCAGTCCACAGAATCAGGTAAGCGGCCGAAGGAAGGAAAGGAGAATCTTGAGCCAAGGCACGTGCTTGTGTATCCATAATACATATATACAAATAGACCAACTCGTGGCATGATTGGGGGTCTTTTGGTAGCCTCGCTACCAGTTCGTTCGGTGGTGATCACACTGTGTTTGTTCCATGTTGTGGCTTTGTTGTGGCTTCAAACATCAGGTGGAGAGTGAAAGGCAAGATCACCACCGAAGGACTGGGCGGAACGGAGCCAGATTTGTCGAGGTCCCAATGTGTGACACGACACTTAGTGAAATTTCGTGTTTTGCGCCAGAACGTCGAAATAAGTTGGCAACACTTTCAAAAAAAAGTGCTCGAGGCACATATTTTAACGGAATGTGTTCATAAAAATAATGTGAATGACATAGATTTTAAAAACCAAAAAAAAATGGAGCCCTTCGGAACTTGGCAGTGTCTAAGAATTTGGTGGAGGTGGCGGCGGAGGATTTCTAGGATACAGATGAGGGTAGAATAGTGGGTTTGGTGGTTGACGAGAAGAAGAAGACAAGGGGGTATTAGTGGGATAATAATAAGAAATAGGGAAGTGAAAACTTGGTGGTGTGCGCTGCATTTGAGGTAAATGATAATGATTGGGCTGGGGAGTTGCAAGCGCCGCATATGGATTATTGGCTAACGGACTCGAAGACATCGTTGTTGGAAGTTGAGCATGATGATATGGAAAGGGAGGTGGCATTGGAGTCGATGGCACTGGTAATGTGTGACGAGAACTTGAGGGTCTGGGCCGTGGATTGACAGGTGTGGGAGGTACTTCCGTAAATTTCGAGGTGCGTCGTCGTTTTGGCTGATCTTCTTTCACCCCACTCGCATCTCCATCTCCAGGCTGTGATGCATGCTTTTCACCTCTTGCTGCCCGCGGTTTC